TCTAATATTAAAGGTATGAGATGAAAGCAGAAACTGCCTGATCAAAGAATAAGCTTAAGTATTTAATACATACTGTTCAATACCAACTTCTATTGATAACAATAACATAATTCAGTGCACTTCAAAGAACGTTTTACCCACATTTTGATGTTTTAACAGTGTTCTTTGTTACATATATCTTTGTTAATATGTTTCCTATTAGAGGTGAAACAGATTCATTGTTCTTCATGAAGGGTGATCATCATGTGCTACACTTTGTGTTTTCCCTTCTGAATATAGTGACTAATGTGTGCTTTACCCACAAAGGTGCATTCATTCATATCCCACCTGTGTTGATGAAAGGCGACGTCTTTACTCTAACAGGGAAATGGCTTCTAATCAAAGTAACTGTGTTTAACAGATCGCTGTAATGTAACAAAAACTATATTTAAAACTCACAACGCCAAGTGCTGAGCGCTGACCACTGATCCTCAGATACACCATCATAGATCAATAGACAAGTTTAGATTCAAACATAGCTTATTAGCTTCTTCCCGTCTGACCAAAGCGTCACAAATAAAAACAAACAAACAGGACAATTTAACCTGTAATCCCCCCCCCTCCTCCTCCTCCTCCTCCTCCACCGTTATGGACATTTCCCCGTCCCCGAGTTTGGACAGTTTGAGAAACAAACAACGCGACAGGTGTTCAATGAAACCGTGTGTGACACCACAGCAGCCGGTGAAACGGGAACAGATGCGACTTACATGCTCGTTTCACTCGTGTCCAGTCAAGGTCGTAGTCGCTGTTCAAGTTTCCCTCAGCGAACTCCGAACTCAGCTGTCTGCTCCGCTCCGTGTTCCATTTGGTCATCTTGAAGGCGAGGCATCATGGGACATGTAGTTCTTCTATGACACCCATTTTTTTTCAGCCAGTAAATAATTTCTGATCAATTATGTTTGTTGTTTTTAGGGGACTGGACCACTGAGACTGTCTATTAAGTCCACAAAAGAATGCTGTAGTGTTCAGGGTTCCAGGCAGAGATGTCTTGACTCTACTTATCTTTCTTTTACGAGAGGCTGATGGACTCAGAGGGAAATTAAGCAAGGCTCTTTATCAACAACTGGTGACATGCAAAGTATTTTCACACCCTGTTGATATTTATAGTGTCCAATCTGACAGAGTGTGTGACAGGTGATGCTGTAGAATAGACACTATAAGCAGAGGAAGGGCTGCACTGCTAATAAGTAAACAAAGATTAGCCAACATTTAGAAGATGCAATACCTGTAACAGACTCACATGTATCAAGCAGATGCACTTGCAACCACCACCAACAACAAGCTTTCCAAGCTTAACATCTGTCTGATTGTTATAAGTACCATTAAATGAACATCTGTGGTTATTTTCAGCTGCCTCTCTTAATTTATCTTCCTAAACAACATGTGACTGGACCAAACGCCGAGCTATTTTAATCCTGGGAGCCCACCACCAAGCCCGCCTGAGAATGTGCACAGACATGCTGCAGCACGCCTCAGACTTTCACACGCGTCTGATCCGACCCCAACAAATGTCTCAGGTGTCTTTGGCCCAATCCCAATGTCCGCCCTAAAGCCTTGAACCCTGAACCCTCAGGGACTTTGCAGGAACGCGCGTCAAAGTCCGTGAGTCCATAAAGGGGGGACATTGGGATTTGGCCTGTGAGTTTTGAAATTGGGATTGGGCCTTTCAGTGGAATTGCGATGACGTTGTGATTGTGTGGGTCTCTGTCTACCTCTAGTGGTAGAATGGCTGAATGTACAGACAGTTTGTTGTCATTAACATCTGGTTCTGAGATCTCTTGCTCAATTATGTGTTTTTGTTGTGGATATCTTCATTAAATCCTTCATTAAAAATATCTAATTTCGTTTTTTTAATATAAATTTACAATTAGGTTGTTACAGCTGTCTCATGGAGTAAAACAAGCTGTGTATACCACAGACTTAAACGCTTCTCTGCATTTGACAAAAAAAAGCTAATAAGTAAGAGGACCTTTTTGTTTGCTAGTTCTAAGCTAAACTTTTCAACCAGCTCGGACCAGAAGTCCTTGAAGTGTTTCTTCAGTTCCATGAGAGGTGGGCAGACTCCTGAAGACCGTGGGATAAGGTCAAAAGCTCCAGAAGAAGCGAGTAAGTGAACGTTGAATGGAGTTTGTTTTGACAACTGATGTTTTTGAGATCAAAAATGTGTTGTCAAGCTCAGCGTCCTGCGACTTAGCGTCCTGCGACTCTTGGACTCAGGTTTTTTGTGCTACTTTATGTCCTTGCTTCTTTTTTACACATATCTACGTCAGTAGATGCTGCAGCCACTTCAGCACGTGTCTTTATACTCAAAGTACCAGAGTAACTCTCCCGGTACAGGTGGTCCAATGCAGCTCTACTGTCCATTGTCCCAAAACATTCCTCCGTGGTCAGTCAAGGCTACAGTATCTGCATAAGGCATGATTAATAATTTACCAGAATCTCCATCAATCCAGCCAGCTAGTGGTCTGCTCCAGGCCACTTCCTCTCCCAAGGACAATGGGGCCATTTCCTGTGGGGTGAGACGCAGAGGACCAGAGAGAGAGAAACAGGCAGTATTGTAAAGCAGGGACATCATATCAGCGTGTCCTGCCCTTGGAGTAAAAGACAGATCCAAGCGTCTGGTGAGATTCATGGTCTGTTTGCAGGTTACAGGGCAAGACCGGACCCAGGGCTGCTCTTTTCTTTACCCCCGCCCACAGGATCTTCAGAAAACTGTCTGACTTTGTACATATATCTTTGACCTGGTATATTACAGAGACAGAAAGACAACATTAGGAGAACTTCCTACACATTAGCTCATGAGTTTAGGCAAGCAGCCTCTAACGTATTCTCAGTGAGAGAGAATATTTCTACATTCAAAGACGGTTTTATAAAATAAATGGACATTAAAAGCTGAATTAGTGCTTGAAGCCAAAATGCCAGGTGTCTTTGGCAGAGTCAGTATATGAGCTGAAGACCCGCATGTATCCCACTCTTTTAATTCCTGGCTGATTTTCTAAATAAAGAGGCTGCTGTGTTCAGAACAATGGCTCCATTCATGTCACTGCTGCCCTGTCCAGGGATATCTGAGAAAGCCAAAAGAAGTCAAAGACATGCAACATACGGTGGCGAGTGACAGCTCCGAGAGTATGAAGTTACGCAGCTACTGTCCAATTCAACGACCGGTCCAGTAAACATTAAGCAACTCATGATAACACAAGAATGTTGATTGGGCCTGAAGCTATTTTTAAAGAGAAGGCTGTCAGTCCACACATTCACACGGACAAATATAATGGCCTATATAGCCAGCAGTGGCCGAGCAGGCCATGTCCCTCCTCTGTCCCTGTCTCTTTCATTGTACGAGGCACAGATGATGACCGTCACAATGGCCACAAAGGAGAGAGCCATGACAGCATGCCCCGTGGCAGGCCGTAGTATACAGCCTGACCTGTCTGTGTGTATCATCCAGTCTGAGTGTGTCACAGACACATTTCACTGCACCATCAGTATCTAAAGGTGGAGAGATTTCATTTTCCCCACCTGTACACGTCTAAAATGAATCAACAGTGAAACTGATCTTTTGCAGCATGTAGTGTTATTTTAATCACATTATTATTATGAATTTCTTTATTGTACTGTGCACTGACATGGTCACAGTGGTGCACATTCACAGTCAGCCCCCTACAGATCTAATGGACAAGTTGGACTAAACCTGGCAGTCACAAGTTTTTGGAGCTGATAAAGACCGGATTGAGTATTAATTGTACTAATTGAGTACTAATTGAGTATTAGTATCATATTTACAGAAATTTAAATCACACTCATATTAATACAAATGTTATTGAATCATTTTAAGCAAACGTTGTGTGACTCCAGTGTGTCCAAATGTTGATATTTGCTTTTCCATAACAGTAAACTAAATATTTCAAGGTTTTGAACTGCTGATTGGAGCGTTTTTAATATGTCAATGATGCAATTAATCAATCAATGATGAATTACAATGGTTAATAGACCGCGCATTGACTGATTAATCAAAAAATGAATCTGCAGAATGGTCGATATTGAAAATGATTTGCTAGTAGTCACTTTTATTTTTGTAATTTTACTGATTTTACAGAAGCAACTGGTCAAATTATTAAATGTATTTATAATAAGTATTGCTTAAAATGGTAAAAAAAAAAAAAAAAAAAACTAATCTATCTGTTCATGTCATACAAATCTCCTGTTATGTCTCCCCTTCTCTCCCTTTCTGCCCCTCCCCACTAACACCTCCAAAGAAACTACTGTCAGACACATTCACAAGAACTCTCACTCTCTCACTGGAAGCAGCGTGAGGCGTATTGTTTCTCGGCTGCAGTGACTCATGCTGTCGTCTGGTTTCGTGTTGTAATCAAGGTGTGGCCACGTCGTCGCACAGGTGCACGAATCGGGTCGTTGTAGTCTGTAACAAAAACGAATGAAAACAAGAGCATAATAACAGTAATATAATAATATAAGCTGCTCGAGCCACTCAGAATGTTTTATACACTACTTTACACGTAAACTGTGTTGTGTGGTTTACTGCAATTAGACAAATAGGTCTTGTACTCAAAGGTCTGCACTCAACTTTGTATTTTGTTTTTATAGACCTTTCTATAGCTCATATTATTTACAATCATGTAAATGTAGCCTGTAACTGTAAACACATTTAAGACACGATTGACAAAGTCTTAAATGATAAATTGGCTCTTGATAAACCTATTAGTATGGTCCTTTGAGATAATCATCTTTTTATTTATTCACTACAACATTAGGCCACAATAATCAATGTTGCCAAAAGCAATTATTAAGAAGTAAACTTCAATTCTCTGTTTATTAGAAGGACAATAAAGGAGTCTGTGACGCTGGGAGCAGTGCGCTGCGCTGCGCTGCGCTGAGCGGAGGCAGGGTGGGGTCCGGGGGAGGAAGGCGGAGTCTGGGCTGAGGTGACGCTTCTTTTACTCCGGTTTTGTTCAGTGGACTGTCGGCCAGCAGCAGCAGCAGCAGCGGCGGAGGAGAAAGTGGCGTGAAGTGAGGAGAAAAACCGAGAATTGTCCCCTCCAGGAGAACACAACAGTGATCTGGAATAATCTAAAACGCTTCGTTGTGTTTCGACAGGTACGACTCAAATGAATGTATATGTTCACTTTCTCCAAACTGCTCAGTGTCTTTGTCACCGACGGGTGTTGTTTTTCCCCTCAGTATTTGTGCGCACAGGAGTCGCTATCCTGCTTTCTCTATTAGCGTGTATGTTCATGTGGGTAAATGTTTGGGCTCATTGTTCATCTCCGCTTACCTGGGTGTGAATCCAGCCTCGTATCTGGAGTTCATTTCCGCATGCCTCAAACTGCCTGCTGTTTCGGAGTGAAGCGCGAGCTCTCCAGGCCCCAAAAGTTTCCTCTCTTGCGTTTAATACATTGTTTCTTTTTAACTGTTCAAAGTGTCAAAGGGCCCGTTCCGACTAGTCATATCGATACTTTTGGCCCCAGTATCGATCAATCAACTTGACGTCACTTGTCAATAGTGTCCTACAGTGTCATTGGTGGTGACCAAGTATGCGCGCGCGCACGCGCCTGTGTCTGCGTGGGACAGAGGCAGGTGAAGAGAACGGGGCTTTCTTTAACCATGAAAATACATTTTCTGTAGAAAGTAAGAGGTTACAGAATGTGTATCACACGCATAGCGTTTTACGGACAATTAGGGTTTAACACGTTGGCAAGTTAGCCGGAAAGAAGTTAACTCATTAAATATAAACTTAATTACAACTGAGGCGATTCATTGATTGCACACAGAAAGTGAAATAGCAGCTATTTTCTATAATCGATTCATAATTTAAGTCATTTTTTAAGAATCATCCAATCTCTGATATAAAGTTTTCAGTTTGTTTTATTTGGTCCTCAGCAGAATATAGGCCGTTTGGGTTTGTGAGTGTTTGATGAGGTCAACGACACAGTTTTGTGAAATCTTCATAAACCAACTGTTAATCAAGAAGTTGACTATCAGATTCATTGACAATTATAAAGTAATTGTTAGTTGCGGCCCTGAATTAAAATGTTTGCGCTCAAACGACAGTAAATACTGCAATGAGCTAATTGGGCATGGGTGAGTAAGATCCCCGTCACACACGCACATCTGTAATGTGCGACATTGACTATTAAATCATATCCCTAAAATGTGTTGTTGTGCTGTTTCTATAGCGCTCATCCACTCCCACACTGCTGCTCATGCCAGCGGTGATGTCTCCAGGTGTTGCCAAATCTTCCATGAGGTCATAACCTTAGTTTGAACATGCTCCAGACTTTACAGGACGGCAGGTTTTCAATCCTGCTTATTGGCCGCATGAGCACACATTTCTTTTATTACATTTCCACGTAAGTGAGGGAGTAAATCCACTGAAATCTGCACCGATTTTTAAATTGCCCTTTGTCTTATCCGCTTTCTTCTTGTGCGACTGTCATTTGCGGTGTCCTCCGCCGCCGACACTAAATCTGTTGTCGTCTTATTTGAAGTATCAGCAGGTAACGCCATCAAAAAGCACAGAGAATAGTGCCAAACAACTTTTTGCGTCCTACTTGTCCCTAGACCAACGCGTCCAGCTGAGGCGGTTGAATGTGTGTCAGGTTGAATGGGACAGCATGGCCTCCCCGGGTCTGTGTCATCCCGTAGTGCAGCAGCAGACAGCACCCTGGTTGGAACACTGGCTGTTCCTGTCTGCCCTCAGGGAAGAGGGCGGATGGGTGGGGGGGACGGCGACGGGGGGCGATGACTTACTGTAGATTTCGCAGCTACAGCTGTGGTGGCACGGTGATAATCCCCCCCCCCCCCCCCCTTGCTTAATTCCCTGATACTGTCCTACATTAGCAAAGCAAGAGGTCAGGAGATCCTCCAGTATATAAATAGGTCTACACTTTGCAAAGGGAATTACTGTATATGTCGCACATCCTAACCTTTGTTTAGCGTAAAGGATTTCTTCTTCTATGGATTCCCTTTCTTGCCTCTTCTCTGCGTCTGTTCAGTGGTGCCCGGCCGAGTACTTTCCAGGGGCTCGGTTACAGCCACTCGTCGTGTGACCCGCTCTGTGTTTGCACACCACTCTGCCTCTGTGTTTTACTGTTCCCATGGAGAAGGGGGCGCAGAGAGATAAAGTTTTCCATCGGCTAAGAAAGGGGTCTTTGTGGCGTAACCGCAAATCTCCACGGGGTCAACTTCCACAGGCTTTAGAGGAAATCTTCATTAGATGATGCCGTCGCCGAACCCCGTTGACACCCAGCACTTCACTATGATCATAAGATAAGATAAGATAAGATAAGATAATCCTTTATTATCGTCTCTGACCAAAGAACGTGGCCTCCCTTTTAACCTACGCAGGTGCACCTGAACACTAGATTTCCAGAGAAGGGACTAAATCAATCAAGCCAAAAAAATGTTGAGTCTATCTGTTTAGGATAAATACGGTAATTCTATAATTGGCCGGACTGCTGAAAACATCCATTCATGAAAAACGATTTTTGCTGTCGCCGATGAAAAATCAAACCAGAAGCTTCTAGCGGAGCACAACGGTTTAATGCTGAGCAAGTAAGGCTGGCACTGCCCAGCTGAACCCTCACCATGACCGTCACTGGAATGAATAATTTACCTTCAACAGTTCTCTTGGTTGGATAAAACAAGGACAGTAAAGTGTCCCTTACTTAAAATGTCAAAGGCCTAATGGCTGTTTCTTCCCATCACACGCACTTAGAGCTATAGGAATGTCTGCCAAGTTCCACGTCAACGCCTTTCAAAGACACCCATGCTTCAGTCCGACAGCACGCTGGAAATAGCTGAACCCTACTGTTTTCTTCATGAATACATTACCTCTGATCATTACTGACTGCGTATCCACGCACGCAGCGAGGGAGGACACTAGATTGCAGCACTGACTCAAAAGACAAAGTTTTCATAGTTGGGTGCATTGGCTGAGTTCTACTTCTCAGCATAGTGACTCTGATGAGTCCTGTGGCGTCTGTTTTTCCTCCTCCTCCCTGTCCCTTAATCACACTGCTGTGAGAGATTGAGGAATGTGATGACAGCAAGGGTGTGGTTGCAACGGAAAGTTGTTAGATGTGCAACATGAAGAACATCAACCTCTCACAAGGAAGTTATTCGTGCATATGGCCAATCACCGTTGCCTGAAAATCTCATAACTCAGTTTTTTTGATTGATTTCTTTTGAAGGATTTTTAAGCTCTCCTGCGTTGACAAAGTTGTGCAACCCTGCGGCCTGTGCATACTTTACAAAACACTGGATAAACGGAAAAATGCATGGGGGGGGGTTCAGACAATCAGGGCTGTTCTTCCTCCTTCTTCATGTCTTCTTTGGTCCTTAAATGTTGACATTTTGGTGGTTAATAAAACAAATGCCAGGACTGTTTTCAGAATAAGTCACTACTTTTTTTTTTTTTTTTTTTTTTTTTTTTTTTTTAATAATGCTATTTTTCACTCTTAAAATATTCAGATTTTGTGTTTTCTTTTGTTTTCTTAAAGAAGAACAAACTGAACTTGAACTGGTTCCTGCGGAGCGTTTTTATTCTTTAAGGTCCCTTTAGACTTTTGCCCTGCTCTCCAAAGCTCCCTCTCCCTCCTGCCTCTAATCTCCCTGAAAAATGAATCATCTGTCACATCGCCTCAGTGCTCGGCTGCACACCGATGCGTGGCAGTTCAAGAAAAAAAAAAAAAAAAAAAAAAAACTCCCCGTCAGGCCTTTAAAACAGGCTGCAGAACAGATGCCACCAAAGTTGGCCAGTGAACACACGGAGACATCTTGATGTGCTTCAGTCTTTTTGGTCGCGTCCAGTTGGGACACTTGAAACCCGGTTTCCTTTTCACTGTGACTGCAGTCGGTGGGACAATGTGGCCAATCTTGTCCTCTCTCTACACAAAACAAAGTAACACAGAGGCTCTCTGTGCCATATCAGACTTGGTTCATCCTCTTCCTTCCTACCGCCAACTAAACAACATGGAGAGGAGCACATCCTGCTTACTGTAGTCCAAAGACACAATCTTTTTTTTTTTTTCAAGCAACTGGCCTTCAGCTGTTCAAATACTGGATTTAGTTTTCTAGAAAGTAGAATAAAATCCAGCCATATCTTGATGATTATGGAAGATAATCTTTGGACATTCTGTGTTTATTTCGCTCCATGCGATTGACAGTGTGGTTAACTTTGTGGGCCTTTTCAAATGAGGGTTTATTGTCACACATGGGTACACCCCCTTTTGTACTCATTCCCTCCTCCTCCGTCAGCTTTGTGTAATCTGATCCTGCTCTGCACTAAGGCACCTCCTCCGAGACGGCTCACATTTCCTTTTGATTCACAGCGAGATCCCACAGGGAGTAAACAAGCAGTTTCCAGCCACCACCATACTGCATCCACTGGCGTAATTCAACTCATTAAAGTAGCTGCAGTGAATCAACTGACAGATCTAAGGCCATTATCCATTCTGCTGCTTACTTTCTTCATTGGCATGCTGACTGTGGTTGACTGTTGTTGGGAATGTTTCCAGTTCAGGCAAAGAAGGGGAGTGCACTGTGCTGCATCGGCCACATTTAGACAGTCGGTTTGTGTGTTGCTCAAGTGCTCACCAGCAGTATCTCATTGTCTGTCCTGTCCTCCGTGGGGCTCTTGGCGTGCTGGCGTTGCTATGGTCTGGATTTTATCATCTGCCTGTTACAGTCAATTGACGACGTGCTCTGGCTCCAAAATGTGAACATGAAGTTGTGTTCTCCCTGAACTCGGTGCATGACGTGACAACAGCCGGCAGCAGTTTTTGTCACCATAGTTTTGCGTCTAAAAGTATGAAGAAACAGTTGTGAAAGTACAGCAACTGGCCCTCTCTGTCCAGACAGCCCAGCAGTTGGCGAGTCAGATAATGTTGACCACCACTTCCTGTCACCCACCACAATAAATCCATTAGCTGTGCACCACTTCACATCCTCTCTTATTGATTTATAACAAACAACCAGCCCGTTAGCCCCTGCTGCCTCCATTACAGTGCCATAACGGCTATCGTTGGACGAGTGTGTGTGTGTGTGTGTGTGTGTGTGGGGACTAGGAAGGTTGGCGGGGGGGGGGTGTTGAGCTGTATCCCATTGGGACAGCTGAACCCCGGACGCAGAGAGCACAATGTCAACTGCTTGCCTGTCTGCTCTGCTGGCCATTTACTGTGTCGGGAGGATTGTGCTGTGTGAGTGCAGGGTGATGTGTTAAAGGCATCTGGGAAATGGTCTATAGTAAAGAGGAGTGTGAGTCGCATGTCAGGGGACATGCATGTGAAAGGCTGCGTGTGCAGAGCCGACATGTCGAACAGTTGATCTGTGCAGATGGTGCAGCACGATTTACAGATGTGTGGAAACATAATCTGCTTTATTTGCATTTCAGCCTAAACATGACATTAGCAAGCTTGTTAGAAGTCACAGAGCACCAGATGAGGTTTCTACAACAAAGCTGCGATGTTCTGACAACCATCAGACTTTGCAATTGACATAAACGAAAGATAAATGTGTTTTTTGTTTTTCGAGACGTGAATTAAAGGGATAGATTGACATTTTTCTTGCCGAGAGTTAACTGATTGAGGTCGGTCTCATGTCTGTGCGATAAACAGGAATTTAGTTTATTGTAAAAAAGACTGGTTGTAGTTGTGCAGGAGGTTATGCGTTTGTTACATTTGATAGTCTGTAGAGTTACTGCACTTGTAGATGTAGCTTGTCATCTTTGGACAGAGCCAGGCTACCTCCTGTTTCAAGTCTTTATGCTAAGCTAACTGGCTGCTTGCTCTAGTTTCATACTTAATTGACAGACATGAGGGTGGTATCTCCTCCAACTGTTGGCAAGATGGTGAATAAGCGCGTTTCCAAAAATATCAAACTATGACTTAACACTAATTTGGCAAGCGTCATCTTCTCAAGCAGGCATGTAAAAGAGCACACGGCACATGCTTGGTGACATGTTATTTGCACCGCTGCATGCCAAACAGGCATGAGCCTGAACAAGAAATCACTGCAAACTCTGAAATGTACGTTAGGAGCCTCTCTGGAATACCACCAGAGTACATCTCCAGCCCCCTGGGCCTCTTCCCTGACCTGATTCATTCCTGCTGTGATACAAAGAGGAGCTTAGGCCAGCCAAGTCAAAAATCTGGAGCGCTGGAATGTTTTCCCGTTCGATACTGAGTTTGTCACATGCCGTGTTAATTAAGACGATGATTTAATGCGGAGAATAAAGTGTCAGTTTAGCCCCTTGAGCAATAAGGTGTATTCAGCCTCACCCAGTTCACGCTGTGCTGCCACACCCTCGTACAGAGCCGGTCACTGACGGGGAGACACACCCTGTCGTGTGTGTGTGTGTGTGTGTGTGTGTGTGTGTGTGTGTGTGTGTGTG